CCCCCGCCCCCAGGGCCAGCCACGCAGGAGTCCCTCCCTCCTCTGATCCCTGCTCCGGCCACCGGGGCCCCGCCCCCACTGTCCCGGGGCCCCGCCCCCTGTGCAGTCAGGATGGGGTTGCCCGTTCTGGTCCCTCCCTGCGGTCCTGGATCCCCCCCCTCCCGCTGTGTGCTGCTGCTGTAGCTGCTCGGTGGTGGTGGTCGGTGGTCGGTGGTCCGTGGTGGTGGCGGTGATGGTGGTGGTGGTGGTGGTGAACTTTGACTAACACAGCTTTCTCTCTCTCCCTGCCTGGGGGCCTCCTGGCCAGGACAGCCCGCTCTTCCTCCGTCGTTAACCCTTCGTTGTCCTGTGGGATAGAGTTGGAGGTGGCTGCCCTCCCCCCACCCCCGCCGCCCCTGCCCCAGGCGGGGGGAGGGGCTCCCCTCCGTTGTCGTGGTGCGTTGTTCTCTGACACCCTCCACCCCCAGCCCGCCCGGTCCCCTCTCTCCTCTCTGCAGGCTCTGCCATGAACGCACCTGCTCAGCTGATGTCTCTCTCTCTCTCTCTCTCTCTGTCTGTCTCTTGTCCGTCTGTCTCTCTCCTCCTCTCTCACTCTCTTTCTTCCTTTTATCTGTCATTGTTTTTCCTCCTCTTCCATCCCCCCCTCCCGCAACACCCCCACGTGTGGCCCGCCCTCTCTCCCCCACCGCCACCCCTGTCCGCCCCCGGCCGGCCACCTCGTGCTTGCGTGCCTGCGTGCCTCCAGTGGCACCCTCCTGTCCGGTGCCAAAGTGGCCGCTGCGGCGGGGCTGGCGGTGGAGCGGGAAGGCCGGCTGGGGGAGAAGCCGGCGCCGGCGCCGCCACCCGGAGAGGACGGCCTGAGAAGCGGCGGGGCTGCCCCCTGCGAGCCGGGCAGCAGTGCCAAGGCGGGGAGAGGCCGCTGGCGGACAGTGCAGAGCCACCTGGCCGCAGGGAAGCTCAACTTGTCCAAGTGAGTGATGGCGCTCCATGGCCGCAGGAGCCGCGAGCTCAAGCCTGCACCCTGCCAGGGTGGACAGCGGGACCCCGTGGCATGCCCGCTGCTGCCCCCAGAGGTGCCACCATGGCCCCTGGATCATACCCACGCCTTCATGAGATCCTTCCATTGACCGCATCACCCAGCACGGCCAGCTCAGCCATCCAGTCTGTCGCATTCCAACTTCTGGCTGCCGCCCAAGCAGCCTCTTTGCCACGACCCAGTCATGCCATCGTCCACCCGACGGACGGCTCCATCTCAATCCTGGGGTCATCCCATTCTCTTTGATCGACCATCACAGCCTGTGGTTGTCCAACCATTGGCCTATCCCATCCTCAGGGAGCTGGCCGGCTCAGCCTGTGTCCTGTGCTGTGTCCTGTGCCACTCACCAGCCACCAGGCCTTCCCTCTCAGACCAGCAGATGGCTCTAGACCCAGAGGTGGAGCCATGGCATGTTTGACCACTGGGTGACTTGCTTATATCCTAACACCACAGCCGCTGGATAGCCCCTGCTGCCTCATCCATGTCTCATCGTTCCCACTGGCCGTCCTCGTTTGGCCAGCTAGCTGTCCCACTGTCAGTTGTCAGGATGGCGTGATCTTAAAGGTTAGATTGTTTTGCTACCTCCCCAAACCCCCCTCTCCGCCCACTAGCTTCTCTTTTCAGAGGGCAGAGGATACGCTCCCCTGTTGAATAGCTAAGGGTGTCAAGACAGTCCACCCCACTGTGGGCAAATGGGCATAGAGTTGGCCCTGTTCCACATGGTAGCATGTCCCCCTAAATCAAAGGAACCGCCTCGGGCTTGACTGTTGCCTACTCTGAGCCTTCTCAGGCCCCACACCCCTGGAGTGATGGCCATTCTCACCCACTGGGAATGGAGGGTCTGCCTGTGACTGTTGGAACTGCCTGGTTCCCAGCTAGTGGTGGACACGTCCTCTTAGAAAGCTACCCACCTTACTCCTTAGATGTCCTGCCCACATAGAGCCTCCTAGTCCTCTTCCAAAGGTCTGTGGTTCCTGCCAATAGGACCATGGAGGGCCGCAGTCTTTTGCTTCTTGGCCTGTAGGAGTCTACACTGATAGCCTACCCTGATATCCAGCCTCAGGAGGGTCCCACAGGGAACTCCCACACCTCCTCAGAGGGCCAGGCCCAATGCCCCCGGCGCTCCGGCCATGGTCCCCAGGCTGGCTGAGGCCTCTGTGCTACTGCTGGCCCCAGGCCTGGAGGAACCAATTTTAGTTTCCTGTGACTGAGAGGTTGTAAATTGGACTAATTTTGGATGTGATAGGAAACCAAGAATGAGGTCAGCAAGGAGGAGGTGGTGGCGGCCAGAGTGTGTCCTCCCTCTGCCTCAGCCTGCCCCGGGGGAGTTGTGGGCCTACCTGGCTGCCAGGCCTGGGCCTGCCCCCAATGGTCACCCTGATTCAAGTCCTCAGGCAGGCAGGGCTGCTATGTACACCTCCAAGCACCCAGCTATAGCTATGATGTGCTCTCTCTCTCTCTCTCCCCCTCTCTCTGCTGTGCTCTGACTCTCTATCCCTCTTTCTCTCTCGCTCTCCCTCTTCTCTCTCTCTCAGCCCGTAGGGGCAGCCTAACTGTTGTCTTTTGGTTCCCAGGGTAGGCTGGGGGCGGAGGGGGGGGGAGGGAGCGGGTACAGCGCTGAGGGCTGACTGCAGCAGTGAGAGTGGCTCCCAGGGGCCCGGGGACTTCCTCCCTCACACAGCTTGAGGGTTGGCAGACTTCACCACAAAGGGCCAGGTAGCAAACATTTAGGCTTTGCAGGCCATATGGCCCCTTTCACGATTATCCAGCCTTGCCAGTGTAGCCCCGAGACAGCCACAGGTGGAACATCAGCCCATGGCAGTGGGCACACACCAAAATAAAACTTTATCCATAAAAGCAGCCAACAGGCCAGATTTGGCCCTAGACCCTTGGGTGGAGAGGGAAGAAACAGAAGGAGGAAAAGACTGGTTACCCCCTACCTGATAAGACCCAGGGAAGGGAAGGGACTCCCCATCTCCCAGTCTTTCAGCTCAGTCTCTGCTGTGGCACTTAAGTGATGGCTTAGATCTGGTCTTTCCTGTGGGACACACGGAAATCTCTGACCAGTGGGGACAAGGCTGGCAGTTTCCCCAGGGACCCCAGGCTCCTTCTGCCCCCACTTCCTGATACATTTGCAGCCCTCTGGCAGGGGCGCATGTCCTGACGCAACCTGTGGCTGGACTGACATCACTAGGTCCTCACGGCAATTGCCCGAGGCAGCCCAGCACTCTCCTATCCCCCTTTTACAGATGAGACAACTGAGGCCCAGAGAGGCGACATCACTTCCAATGGCCCACAGTTAGTACGTGGTAGAGGTGGGTTGGAACCAGTGTCTCTCGACCCCTACTGCCCCTGGCCATCCACATCCTACTTCCCTTCTGTCCCCGCTCCAGCACTTTTCAGAAGTGCCAGAGGGACCTCCGGGCAGGTCATGGTTGCAGGTCTATGAAGAACAGGACATTCCTTGAATCCAGCCCTGTCTCCTTCGCAGGTGGACAGAAATGGCCCCTCCTCAAAACAGGGGAGCCATTCCCAGAGCACTAGAGAGGGTGCTGGGTCCCCAAGACAGGAGAGCAAAGAACCCCGCTAAGCTGGCAGCAGGGGGTAGGGAGTGAGGTCTGTGATCGCTAGGCTACCTCTGTGCTTCCACAGCCCCACCACGCACACATCACGGGGCCAGCTGGGTGCCGGCCTGGTTTTCCTCACCGACAACGTGGAGCCAGACCTTCCCTTGTCCCAACTCCAGGCAGTGGTGGGAGGCAGGGCCAGGACCCCAGGGACCCATCATCGTCATGCAGCTGCAGTCCAGCCTAGGCGGCGGCCAGGGACTAGCTGAGCCAGGGCCATGGGGTAGGGTGTAGGTGACCTGCCTGAGGTCGGCGGGGGTGGGGGGTGGGGTGGGCTTGGTAGCCTCCTCAGTGAAGCAGTGGTGACAACGGTAGCGGCGACTACCCCGATGGAGGCCCGGCGAGGTCCAGAGGAGCACGCGCTGCCCCGGGGGGCCTCCTCGCCCTGGCCCTCAGCCTCTTCTTCCTCCACTCTGGTCCCTTCACCGGCTTCTCCTTTCTCTCCTCTCCTCTGCCCATCCCAAGTTTCGAGGACTCCACCCTGTCCACGGCTACTACCCTTGAGTCTATCCCCAGCTCCGCGGGAGAGCCGAAATGCCAGCGACCCCGCACCCTGACCCGGCAGCAGAGCCTGCAGCAGCCGCTAAGCCAGCACCAGCGGGGTCGGCAGCCCAGCCAGCCCACCACCAGCCAGAGCTTGGGCCAGCTGCAGGCCCACGTAGCCTCAGCGCCAGGCCCCAACCCCCGGGCCTATGGCCGGGGCCAGGCTCGGCAGGGCACCTCGGCCGGCTCCAAGTACCGGGCGGCCAGCGGCCACAGTCGCTCCAACCCAGGCAGTTGGGACCACGTGGTGGGGCAGATTCGAAACCGAGGCTTGGACATGAAGTCCTTCCTGTAAGTCCTCCCCTGGAACGGCCAGCCCTATTCCCCACCCCACCTCCTTTCCCATACGCCCTCTTAGGAGCTCCCTGCAGGGCCACTGAACCCCCTGGGCTGCCTCTCCCCAGCATCTATGGAAGGTCCACGCTGAACCAACCACACCTCCTGAGGACCCTGGGCCTTGCTAGTGCCCCCAGGGTTTAGAGAAGCCAGCAGATACTAGGGGTCTCCAAGATGGGTCTCCTCCCCTCCCAGCCAGGCCTTCCCTTCTACTCTTCCCCCTCTCCTGTCCCAAACCCAGTCCCCTACCTTTGATGTCCCACCCTGCCATGTCCTGCCCCTCTGACTCCTTCCCTCTAAGCCAGCGGTTCTCAACCTTCCTAATGCTGTGACCCTTTAATACAGTTCCTCATGTGGTAGTGACCCCCCCCCAACCATAAAATTACTTTTGTTGCTACTTTATAACTGTAATTCCGCTACTGTTATGAATCCGGGCGCCCCTGTGAAAGGGTCATTCGACCCCCACAGGGGTCACGACCCACAGGTTGAGAACCGCTGCCAGTCTAAACCAACTCACCTTCCCTTCCTGCCCACGTTCGTTCCTTCCCTCCTCTCGTGCCCCGTGCTCCTGTGAGCTGCCATCTGCCGCCTCCGTGACCTTCTGTATCTGTCAGTCCTCCAGGTCCCTCCCTATGATGGCCCACCCCCCTTGGTCCCCTCCCCCAGAGCTCTAGGATAGGCTGCTTGTATACAGAGTCTCCTTGGGTGTGCACAGATGGGTGACAATAGTATCTAACCAGAACCCTAGGCCAGCCACTTGCCCTCCCTCTAGGCTCCCACTTAAGCCCTTCCCTACTGGGGCTCCTGGGCAGCTGCACTCATTCTCCCAGTCTAGGACAGCCAGGTAGCCGCCTGCCGGCGTCACCATCCCCGGCCTCCTGTGACCTAACCCAAGGGGAGGTTCCTTCCAGGCTCTGGCCTCTTCCCATCACCCAGGCCTTCCCCGGGGCACTTTTCACCCCGACAGTGTCCGGCTTAAAAGAAAAGGGGAAACCTGCGGCTTGTCCCAGCAGCACAGACGGGGTTGTGGATACCCTGTATACCCACTCTTCCGGCATGGGTGGCAGTCGGATGCCAGCATCCACCCCGGGCCAGCCCGACTTTGTCCACACTTCTGCCCGACCCCCACCAGCCACTCACATTTGCCCTCCAAGCCCTTCCTCCACCCCTAGCCCCTCCACCCAGGTCCCCTGTGACAGAGGCTAGCCAGCCAGTGTTTTCCACCAAAGGCCAGCTCATTCATATTCCAGGCCTTCCTTGTGGGCCACCAGGGCTCCCTCATGCTCTGTGTGTGTGCTTTTCTAAACAACGGAAAGCCTTTCTTAGCTCGGGGCCCATAGACAAAGAAGAACAAGCTGAAGCTGCCCAAGGCCGGCCTCTTGCCTTTCAGGTGAGCTGCCCAGGTAGGCAAGTGATGGCCATCACATCACATGCAAAGAGTGGTGGGCCTCCTACTTAGTGGGGTGACCCTCCCCAACACCAATGCCTGTCGCGAACGGAGCCTTTTTTTTTTTTTTTTTGCCGTTTGGGTTTTTTAAGAAGAGCCAACGGAGCGGCTGAAACACGCATTCGCCTGGGGAAAAAGCATGTTGTTTGCGTTGGGTTCGCCTTCCCCCGGCTCAAGCGGCTCCCAAGCAGCCAAACGGAATTTTACCAACTCCGACCACACGCAGGTGGGCAGGTAGCAAAGGAAAGAATTTGCCCAGGGAGAAGCGGGATGTTGCTTCCCCAAAAGTTGGATGATGCCCATGAGAGTGCTGTGCCCCGGACGCCGTACAAAGCAGGGCAGTCACGTCGCTCCCTTGTCCCCCTGCTGCGCTGGCCCGCCATTTCTGAAGCTCCTCAAGACCACCCCTCATCCCAGCTGCCACTCAGTCCACCTGTTGGTGGTCGTCTGAGACAACCTCTCTGGGACATCACTGGAGCATGCTCATCTCTAAGCCCCGCCTTCCTGGGCGTGGCTCGGCGGAGGAATTCACTCCTTGGGATCCCCGCCCTTAGGGAACACGGGGCACTGGACCCTCCGCGCCTGCGCCACCTAGGACCCAGGGACCGCCTGTGGTGTTGAGGGGCCACGGGCCAGCGCTACCCTACCGTGCGAGGCTGCTGTATAAGTCGCCCAGCGGCTGACCTCTGACCCCACGCTGCTGCCCAGGCGATGACTCCAGGAGACGCTCCCCATTTCATTTGGGTGCTGGGCCTGCCGTGTCAAGACATTTTCCCGCCCGCAGGATCCACGTGCCAAACACCCGCATTGCCTTCTGGATGCTTCTCCAACGAAGGGCCCCTGAAGGGGACCCCAAAACCCTAGGACCTCCATGAAGGGGACGCAGGACGAGGCCGCATGGCAGAGACACCTCTAGGAATGTCTGCCAGAGACCTCTGTTCTCTGCTGGGCTCTGGGACCAGCAGCCTGTGGGAGTGCTCCCAAGACACCTCCCGGCAGCTGGGACATCAGAGTCCCGGGGCCAAAGCTGTCTTCCCGGAGCCGGGTTCCCCCACCCACCCCAAGTCCAAAGTACAGTGCTCGTTGTATTCCAAGCCTCTCCAGGAGCCCAACCTGCGTGCCAAGTGACTGTTAAAACATGGCAGCGGATCCCTGAGCTTGCCTCCCAGGGCCCCAGATGGCCAGAGCCAGTGACCTCTGGCCTTACGCCTTTGGAACTCTGCAGTGCCCCGGGGCATGGCCCGCCCTCCCTTCTTCTCCCCTAGGTCAGGGCTCTCCCCTGGCCTTCACCAAACCCTACCCCACTTCTCTCCAGGGAATCGTGTTCTGCCCAGACCCCTCCCAGGCCACTCTTCCCCGATCCCGACTCTACTCTCCCACTGCTAACGGCACTGAGGGGCGGTCTCTCCCACAGGACCAGTTTCTTACGCTTGTTTCTTCTCTCTCTTTGTCTCTGTCTCTGTGTCTCTCCTTCCTGCCCTTGCCCCGCCCACCTGCGGGGCCTCCTCGCTTCACCCCGGCCGCTGGGCTGCCCGCCCCGGGCAGGGAAGGTCGGATGGTGGTGCTATCCTTGGTCTTAGGGCTTTCGGAACAGGATGACTTTGCCAATATCCCTGACCTGCAAAACCCAGGAACCCCGCAGAACCAGAACGCTCAGGGGGACAAGAGGTACGCGCACAGGCCAGGGTCTGCGGTGGCGGCAGCAGCGGCGGAGAGGAGGCCCCTCGAACGGCCCCAACGGCTGGACGGGGGCAGCACTGCCTTCAGCGGACGCCAGCTCGGGGAGTCAATGCCCTCACACACGTCCACCGTGGTGGTGCCACGCCCCGTGGTGTCCCTGGGGTGTGAGGCCACGTGGCCATCTCCTGGGACCATTCTGGATCAAGCCTGCTCCCTGGGCATGCTTGCCCCTGACCCAGAGCAAGCCCAACCTTTCTGCCCCATCTCCCTGCTTGGCTCTCTGCTGCCCCCTCCATCTCTCATCTGCCCCCCCCACCTACCGCTGACCCAGAAATCCCTGTTTCTCTGGGGGTTGCTGGGGAGGGGGGATGTCAGGGAGGGGCCGTGGCTGGTACTCCCTCATCCCCACCACCTCAACCCATCTTCTTGCCTGGAGGCCCCTTGGGGATGGTAGCACAACACTCACGCAGGGGTGTGACTGCACGGGGAGGGGAGGGAGGGGCCTTGGGGAGGGTCTGAAGCAGAGAATGCCAGGGCATAGGAGAAACCTGGCAGCAGGGCTAGAGAGGTAGCCTTGGGCCCTGGGTCCCAGGGTGGGTGAGGGGGTGGAGAGGGGTGTGGAAGGGCGAAGCTGGCCTTGTTGCTGGTCCACACCACAGGGCTGTGGATTGACATTTGTAGCCTTGGCCATAGAGAACTTCGGAAGGGTTTCCAGATGTCTGGGAGGGGCTGGCCCTCTGCTCTTGGGAGCTGGATAGGTGGAGGAGGCTGGGGGGTGGTCACCAAAAGGCAGGAAGGGAGAAGGCCTCATCCCTAGGCCAGACCCCCCTAGGAGACCCATAATAGGCCCCATTTCCAGCCCCTTCCTGCTTCTACCTTCTCCTCTGACCATGAAGGTATTGCACAGGATGACCCCTGTGGAGCAGCACCCACCCCCAGCTCTGAAGTGCTAAGCTTGTCTTGAGGCAGACAGACCCTGAGACTGGTCACTTGTCAGCTCCCAGAGCTGAGCAGGGCCGGCAGTGGTGAACAGGCCCATCAGGGCAGGCAGGAGCTGGCCTAGGAAGAAGGCTGCCGAGTGTGTGTGCGTGGGGGGCTAGGGAGAGCCAGCGGACTGCCCTTCCAATAACCACTCATTCCCCCTGGGGCCCAGGCCACAGTTGCCTGTTGATAACAGGCTGGGCTGGAGGCCCAGGGAGGCAGCAGTGGCAGCCCAGGGCCCAGCCTGTGTGAAGGGCGGGCCTGCCACCTCAGCCCACCTGGGTTCCTCCTGGGCCACAGGGAGAGGGTGCTAGAGCGGCCTGGGGTCTCAGGGGAAGGTGTGAAGCGTGAGGGAGCAGGTGCAGGCTGGAAACAAGATTTCTTATCGCCCATGTGTTAATTAACCGGCTCCATTCTCATCCACAGCCTATTTTTACCTCCTTGCCACTTCGGTCTCGCTCCATATTTTAACACACCCATCCATTCTGATCATGATATCAGCACGCCCCCCCATCCTTCCTGGGAAAGGTGGGTGTGGAGCTGGAGGCCACAGGCCCGCCCCATCCAGCATGGCTTTCCTAGTGGACACACACCTTTTCCACAGGTCATGCCCCTGCCCGAGCCCTGCATGCTCTCTGGGGTGTCCATCTGCCCATCTGCCCTTCCCAGCACCAACACCCACTACCATTGACTCCAGCCCATGTGGCCCGGAGTCTTTGTCTGTCCCCAGACCCACTTTACATAGCCAGGGGTGAGCAGGTGGGCCGCCTTCAGCTGTTAGCAGTAGACAAGTGGACCCGTAAGGTGCAGCAGCCACCCTAGGTGGCCAGCGAGGGGGAGGGCAGGTGGGTGCCCACAAGTCAGCAGAGTAATGGAGGTCTCCAGCATTCCTGAAGTGCCCAGTCAGGACCCCACATCCCTCCGGCCCTCACCTCACGCAGGGGGCCCACAGATGCCACATCAGACTTGGGAACCCCAGAGGGAGGCCCCGGCCCCCCTATGCCCAGCTGTGCCCATTCCACGCTCAGCCATTGTGCCCTGCAACCCATCCCCACCACCACTGCTCCTTGGGATCCAAATGGTTTCCACCGGGGGGGCGCCCCCTCCCCCCCCCCCAAGGGGCGGGACGGGACCAGCCCACCCCATCGCACTCCTCGCAGGAAACCGCCATGTTTCTTCTCCCGCCGTGTGTGTCCTCCTGCCTCCTCTCTGCCTGTCCTTCCGGCGCCTCGCTCGTCCTTGCCCCCAGTGTCCGCCCGGCAGCCTTCTTCACTCGGCTCTCACTAACCTTTCTTGCCACCCCCTCCCTTCTCTCTCTCTCCGTCCATCTGCTCCTCACAGGGACCTCCCTGGGCCGGTGACAGCCCCTCGGCTTCTCCCTCCGCCTCTCTGTGCCTCCTGTCTCTCTGCCCCTCTGCGTCCTGTGACCTCTCACAGCTTCCGTGGCGCTGACCGTCTTTCCCAGGCTGCGCTGGCGCCGGGGCGTGGCCAGAATAACTCCAACTTTCTCATGCCCGCAGCAGTCAGCGCGCTCGCCTCTCTCCCACTCTATTTTTAACCTGACTTTACCTCTCCAGCTATTCCGGGCTCCTCGTCCTCCCCGCGCCTGTCTGCGTGAGCACGTGCCCTCGCGCGTGCGTGTGCGTGTGTGTGTGCGCGCGTGTCTGTGACCGAGTGCGCGCGCACCTGCCCACGCGGGCATGGCTGCCTGGAGGGGATGCCCCAGCGTGGTCCTGGGTGCACTGGGGGCGTGTCTGAGCTGTCAAGGCCGGCTGGGGCCAGGTCTCCACACTGGGGGTGCTGTGCGTCTGACGCTGGGGCGTCTGCTCCCCGAAAATGCTCCCTGCTTTTTTAGTTTCAGTCTGTCCCAATTCCCAGGCCAACCTGGCCACATGCCTGGGGTTTCCCAGATGTGTGTGTTCCCAGGATCTAAGGGTGATGTCACTGGGAGGTATCCCAGCTCTTCTGGTCACCCACCTAGTTACGCCTCTCTGGTCCCTGGGAGTCTCATGCTGTGCATGCGTGCACGTGTGCACTCATGTGTACCTGTGTGTGGGCGTGCGTGTAACCTGCTACTGGATCCTGGTGTCTCCCCTCCAGGCCCTGGCATATATCTGTGCATGCCTGTCTGTCTGTGTGCCTGCCTGTCGTGGCCGTCTGTGGACCGGCAGCTGGGCTGGCCCAGAGGCTGTGGTTCCTGTCTAGCCTGTGTGTCCCAGTGTGCGGCTGTCCACAAGCTGTTCTATTCTGGCCTGCCCCAGCCTCCTCCTGCCTGCCCCCACACCTCTCCTCCTCCTCATGGGATGGGCCAGCCTGGTCCTGGGCAGGCCTCTGGGCCCCCTTCCGGAACCTGAAGGGCTGAACAGAGCCAGGCTCACCACCCAGCCAGCCCTGGGCCAGAGAATGGCATCCCAGGGGTGGCATGGCATCAGGGTGCAGACAGGGCCAGGCATGGGACCATCAGACCTGGGGCACCCGGTGTGCCCCATCTTCTTCTCCCTGGAAGCAACCTTATTATGTGCTCAGTCCTCAGAGTGCCAGAAAGGTGGGAGCTGGAAGGGAGGCCTGTGGGCGCACCCCAACCATCGCGGGGCAGCATTTAATTTCAAGAGAGTGAAAGGCCGGTTTTCAGGCACACTGGCCATATTCCAAAAGCTCAGTAGCCACACGCTGAGTCGTGCTCCTGTCATCAGGAATGTTGGGCTGGATGGGGCTGGGTAGACAGCGGTCAGTGCTGACCCAGCCTAGGTAGCCTAGTGCTTCCCGGTGGCTGAGCCTGAGCAGGCACAGGTCAGTGGGCATGACTGCGGACAGTGAGGACACAGAGAGGGCTTGAACACCACCCACCTCGGACTCCCCATGACTTCTGCCAGGCTGGAAGGTCGAGGTGGGGCGCATGCCTAGAGACCACCATGCCCAGAGGATGGCTGGAGGGTGGGGGCGTTTCCAGGGAGGAAGAGGAAGGTGTAGCTCCAGGGACAGGTCAGCCAGGTGCTGAGGCAGAGAAGGGGATCTGAGCTGCACGGAGGAAGGGACGGAGCCGTGGTCTCCAGAGAATACTGGGCTCCCCCAGGAAGTGACAGCCAGGTCCTCCAGGGTGCACTGCCACTCCCAGGCCCACAGTGCCCACACCCAGCTGCCAGCCTGCGCTCACCTGGCTCCCCCACCCCCAGGTTGCCCACAGGCGGAAAGGCGGTGAACACAACCCCTGTGCCAGGCCAGACCCCCCACGATGAGTCTGACCGCCGCACGGAGCCGCGATCCTCTGTCTCGGACCTCGTCAACTCCCTCACCAGCGAGATGCTCATGGTGAGCAGGGGGGGGGGGGGGGGGTGAGGGGCCTGCCAACACGGAGCAAGACCACACAGGACAGGAGGCCCAGAGTTGACAATTGGGCTGCAATCTACAAGAACAGCAGTTTGAAGTGGCCAGCTGCCCTGAGAGAAAAAGATGGGGCTTTCTACTCCCCGTCAGAGTCACAGGCTTGGATCTCACAGGGGCAGCTCTGTCCTGTCCTAGAGGGTCGCTAGTGAGTTTGTTTGGTGGGGGTGGGGGTGGGGTCATGGTGCTAGAGGGAACATCATAAAAACATCTCTGTGATCCTAGAGGGAACGAAGGCCACTGCAAGGAACAAAGCCAGGCTTTCTGCTCCCATAACCAGAAACCCACCGGGCAGTTCTGCTTATGAGTCAGAATCCACTCGATGGCAGTGCGCTGTTGGGTTTGAGGAGGGAAAACTGGTGGGTATGGAATAGGAGCAGACGCATCTCCCCTCCCTGCAGTGGAGGCCTGGGGCGGGGGGGAATCCCAGCCGAGTGGATCCCATGGCCACAGATTAGGTGCCTCCTTGAGCCACCATTGCAGGGGAGCAGCTGAGGCCCAGAGAGAACAGGCCAGCAGAGCCCCCCTACCCCTTGGGGGGGAGTCCTAGTTCCAGGTAATATTCACCAAGGAGGACAGGTTGTGGCGTCACATGGCGCCCCTAGTGGCAGGGGTGAGCCATAGCCTTTTGACCCTCTTTTTTTCTGGTGGGCGGTGGGTTAGGCTGCTAACTCCCAAGGACATGATTCACTCACACCAGCCGAGCCTCAGGAGAGCAGAACGGCTGTCTGGACATGTACCCCGTGCTTGCTGGTCAGTCTTGGAAACCCTAAGAGCCAGAATTGGCATGTTGGCAGTGGGTTTGGATGTAGATCTATGTGTACTTTTTGCTGTTTTGTAAAGAGCCTTGGAGACCCGGCGGGGAGAGGACAGACACCCCGATTGGGCAGCTCGTGGTTGACAGACAGGAATCAGGTCTGGCAGCTCAGGAATGGCTGCTAGAAGGTGTGAGGATGGGAGCCTGCGCAGCTAGACTTGACCTGAGTCAGTTACTTCCTCTTCCTGGACCCCTCCCCTCCTCCTCCGCCAGCCACCACCCTCCCTGAGTCCCTGGGCAGCCAGGTCCCACCTGGGTGCCACGTGGGGCTCTGACTCTGACCATCCCTCCCCACTGACCTCTTCCAACCCCGGGACCTGACATTTGCCCAGGCATCCTCCAGGGAAGCTCTTAAAATGTAGACATTCAGAACCAGCGGCCTGAGGCAGGGACCCCAGAGTCCACATCGCTTTTAGAACCAGGTTAGGAGACAGTCCCTGTCCCAGATCAGGTCTCCCTCTGGCCCACCCACCTCTCCTCTCCGCTCCTCTCCTCTCCCCACCCCCTAAGCCCCTGTGTGCCCAGCCCTCCACAACCCCCAAGCCCACCCATGTGGACAGGCCTTGGACAGGAGGCAGCACCAGTGCCCACCCGGCCCACCCTACACAGCCTCCTGATTGGCTGCAGCTTCTCAGGAGCCAGGTTCCCAGAAGGGCTGTCTCTCCCAGCATGTGCCTGGCCCTTGTTGCTCTCAGGAAAGGGCTGGCAGCTGCAGCCCGAAGGAGGTCAGGCTCCACCCGCTCCGTCTCTGGAGGTCTGACTGCAGCCAGGGCACTGTGGCTGGTAATAATGATAAAGATGAGTAGGGCAGCAGGTTCAGGGTGACCTCACCGGCCGGCCAGGCTCCTGTGGTCCCCAGGCCTCCAGCTGTCAGGGGCTAGGGCCAGCACATGAGTTAAGTGCCCACAGCTGGCCAGAGGGAGGCGCAGGGGCCTCAAGGATGCTCTCTGATGCTGCTTTCCTGTGCAGGGGCAGGGACAGCATCTCTCCTGAGGCCATGGTGGGGGCAGCCAGCCCTGTTGCCATGGAGATGGCACCAGGAGTTGCCCCAGCTGGTTAATTAGGTCTCAGGGCTAAGACCATAGGGGGTGGGGGGAGACTTGGAGCTGACATAAAGCCACTGCCCCTGGCCAAGGCCAAGCCCAACGGGCCCCAGGCCTCACTGTGGGAGTCGTGGGCCAGCAGGACCCTGCAGTGGGGCTGGGCTGCCAGGGCCCTGCTCCCCAGTGGGCCCGGCAGGGGCTTCCCAGCTGCCTGATGTACTGAGGGCAAACAGGGAGTGTCCTCCACATTCACACGAGGGGTGACTGGGGACGACCCCAACACGGGCCCTAGCGTGAGAACCAGGGCAGGTAAAGAGGCACTCCCCATTTCCACGCCCTGTCCTGGTTTCGAGTGCCATCTCAGCCATTTAGTCTTGGGTGGCCTGGGCCAGGTTACCTAACCTCTCTGTGTCCCAAACCTAAACAGGAAGCTGGTTGTGCTGCCCCCTGGGCTTGCTGCCAGGACTTAGTGAGGGCCCGGGCCTGGCGGGCAGCTGGCATGGGCTACCCAGTGCCATCGAGTCAACCCCAGCTTACGGCAACCCTGTAGGACAGTGGGACTGCTCCCAAGCCCCCCAAGGCTGCATGTGACCAACAGACGCCACAGCGTTCTCCCGCTGAGCCGCTGAAGGGTTGGGACCACGGATCCAGTTTTCACCTGGGCATCTCGGACGTGGACTCCTTACTGGGCCTGGTGGGATTTGACTGTTTCTCACCTGGGGCAGGTGAGGTCAGGCTAGCTTGGGAGGGGCCCTTCTCCCTATGGGCCTGGGCGTGGGACTACTCCAATGGGCCCCGCAGGCTGTGCAGTCCTGGAAAGTGACTTAATCTCTCTGAGCCAGCCTCCTCGGTTAGAGGGTTATTGGAACCGCTGGGCCCGGCTGTGGTCAGGAGTCAGTGAGAAGGTCTTCATCCACGGTACGTCCGCCCCATTCTTACCGGCATTGCCAGGCCTTGCCCCCTCGTGCGTCAGCCAGGAGGGAGCAGGGACAAGACAGGGACCTGCCAAGTGTTCTGGGTGCCCATCTTCAAACCCAGCCCTGCTCTCAGGCAGCCCTCTGAGGACGCCCCCCTCCTACAGCCCCTCCCCCAGCCATGCATGAGATCACTTAGCGGAGAGACCCTCCCTCCACTTGCCAGAAAGCAAGCCAGTGGCCGTCCAGTAGGTTCCGGCTCATGGGCTTCCTGAGGGCGATTGTTTACAAGCCAATTACCAGGCCTTTCTTCCGAGGCACTGGGTGGGCTGGAATCCACAACTTCCAGTTAAGAGGCCGAGCCTGTGAGCTGCTTGCCCCGTCCAGGGTCTCCCACCCCACTTCCTGTGTTTCCAACCATGTTGAGCCGGGGCTCCTAGCTCCACCTCGCCCTCTACCGGGCTGTCTGGTGCTGGTCCTCCTCGGGGCTGGACGCCATGAGCGGTGTACATATAGTGACCACCCTCATTTGAGGCAATCTTTCAACAGTGCAGATCCCTGTGCCCCACAAAAGCTGTATTCGCAAGGGTCCCGAGGGACCCTGCCTCACACAGCTGACAGGGCCTCTTGTCTTGTACCTCGCCCTCAGTGTCCCCGAGAACGAAGCCTTGAGAGAGGCGGCCACTATCTCTGCCCACTGTGCAGCCCCAGGTCTGCTGTGGGTGTACTTCACCGTGCATACCCAGGGGCAGGGGAGAGCCTGGGGACTCCCCTGGGTGGACCAGGACAATCGTGACAGGAAGGAGAATGCAGCCCGTGCTGGTGCTTTGGGCCAGGGGGCCAGGCCTGGACTACAAGGAGCTGGGGAGCCGTGCACACCAGGCCGTGCCAGGGTGCAGTCTCCCCGGTCTGCCCCTCCCTCCCTCCCTGTGTGGCCTTGGCCGGTGGACCCTGAGCCTGTACAGCCCCTCTGGACATGTACTGGGACAGGCAGCCTCCAGCGGCTCCTTGTGGGAGCCTCGGGCCTGGGTGGGGGCCTTCTCGGGGAAGGGGTCAGTGTCCTCAGCTGCTCTGGCCCCGCCCCACCCAGCTCTCCCCAGGGTCCGAGGAGGATGAGGCCCACGAGGGCTGCAGCCGCGAGAACCTGGGCCGGATCCAGTTCAGCGTCGGCTACAACTTCCAGGAGTCCACGCTCACCGTGAAGATCATGAAGGCCCAGGAGCTGCCGGCCAAGGACTTCAGTGGGACCAGCGACCCGTTCGTCAAGATCTACCTGCTGCCGGACAAGAAGCACAAGCTGGAGACCAAGGTGAAGCGGAAGAACCTGAACCCCCACTGGAACGAGACCTTCCTCTTTGAAGGTGAGGCCCGTGCCCCGCCCCCCCACCCGCCTGTCACCACAGGCGCCACCCTCGGAGGCAGCTGCCCACTCGCACAAACTCGGGGGCATTGCACACGCCTTGGCCGTTGGCCCTGGATCAGGCCTTGGTTCAGCGCACATGCCTCGCTCCTGCCTTGGGGGTGAGGTGCCTGCAGGCCCAGAGGGGAGCGCCGTGGAGCACCGTGGTACAGTGGCTGGAGCTGCGGGCTGTGGCCCAGGCTGCCTGAGTTTGAATCCCAGCTCTGCCACCTACTAGCTGTGCGACCTGGGTCACCCACATTGTCCAAGCGACCTCCAGCAAGCCCCCCATGTCTCTGGGTCACCCACATTGTCCAACAGACAGGCTAAGAAGGCTTAGGGGTGCAAAAGGTGAGCCCCCTGAGCTGGAGGTTCATGCCTACCCAGAGATGCCTCACAGCAAAGGCCTGGCAACCTACATCCCCAAAACCAAAATTGCAAATCCAGTGCATTTGAAAAGGAGCCCGGTAGCGTATTGGTTACACGTTGAGCTGCTAACTACAAGGTCAGCAGTTTGAAACTACCAGCTGCTCCTCAGGAGAAAGATGAGGCTTTCTACTCCCGTAAAGAGTTACAGTCTGAGAAGGCCGCAGGGGCAGTTCCACCCTGCCCTAGAGGGTCATGGGGAGTCAGAATTAACTCGGCGGCAGTGGGTATGGTTGGGAAAGCTGAATTCTGACTACGACTGAATGGGTCGAAGTGTTTGAATGACGGAGCTGCAGAAGAACCTTGAAAGGACCGTGGATCGCCAGAAGAACACACGGGATCTGACTTGGGAGAAGTGCAGCCAGCACGCTCCTTAGCGGCCAGGATGGCGAGACCGGTCCTGCTTGGTAAAGCCGAGGGACAGTGGAAAGAGAAGACCCTCAACAAGATGGACGGACACCATGGCTGCAGCCGCGGGCTCACATAGAAGAACGGCTGTGGGGGGGGAACGGCTGTGGGGGGGCTGTGTTTCTTTCTGTTGTCCAGAAGGTCGCTAGGAGCCGGAACTGACCCAGCGATCCGAACAGCCACCCCCGACCGTGGCTCTGCTCTGAGACACGGCAACCCTGCCCAGCGGCATCCGGAAACAAGAAGGCCCTAAGCCCATGAAGGAAATGACGCGGGAGGGCGGAGCTGTGTCTGACGCCGGGAAAGGCCCGGCATCCCTTCATTTTTAGATGGGGACATTCTCCGCCCCTGCCTGGGCCAGGCTGCTCAGACACACAAAGGGTTCTGAACAATGCCCTGGGGTTCCTGCAAGCTACAGGGGCCAGCATCCTCTCTCTCTCTCTCTCTCTCTCAACCCCTCTTAGAAAGCCCTGCTTTTAACCCCTCCTCCCTGGGGAGCCACAGGCAGCAGGTGTGTGTGCCACACCTGAGTGCGAATGGTAGCCTGTCTGTCCCATGGAGCGCCTGGAACCCTTCCCCAGCAGCCCGCTTCCACCCTGTTCCCATGATCCCTATGGCCTCCACTTCTTGGTGTCTTGGATTTCCAGGTTCCCTCACGGATAAGCCCAGGGGGCTTCCTCACCTGGTGTTCACCCCCACCCCCACCCTGCAGGATGACGGTCAACTCTCCCACTAAGTTGAGGCTGAGCTGAGGGGTCCTCTCAGGATCACTGTGCGGGCCACTGCTTTCAAGGTGGTGCCCCCAGGGAGAGGCTTATGGGCAGCGCACCCCCAGCATCAGCTGGGGCCCCCAAGGCGTCTGTGGTCTGCTAAAAGACAAGGGTGCGGATGATCAAGCTACACCCAGCAGGACCCCAGGCCACGCCCCCTCCCGGGGTGGTACTGGAGCGGCGGTTAGTTGATCCTGACCCATAGCGCCCCCCACACAACAGTGTGCCATCCTCACAGTCAAGGTCCGGTGGGGGCCCCTTGTTGCAGCGACTGGGCCAGTCCATCTCTTTTCTCGCTGCCCCTCGACTTTACCAGGGACTGGTCCGCCCTGACAACAGGTCCCAAGTCCGAGAGACCATGTCTCGCCGTCCTCGCTCCTAACTGAGCACTCCCTCTGTACTTCTTCCAAGACCGATTTCCCCATCCTTCTGGTGATCCCGGCTCTACTTAATATCCTTTGAAAACACAGTAGTTCAGATTCTCCCTCAGCCATCTTTACCCTTCAACCAACTTTCACATGCACACAGGCCAATGAAAAGGAAGGACCATGGATTGACTCAGGGGCCCCTTAGTCCTCAAAGAGACAGCTTGGCCTTTTAACACTTCACAGAGGCATTTGGTCACAGTTTTGTCCAGAGTAGCACATCCTTCGATTTCCTAAGCGCTTCTTCCATGGGCGTTGATTGGGGATCCTGGTCAACTGAAACCCTTGACCATGTGAGTCTCCTCCATTTATCAGGAAGTTACTCCCTGGTCTAGTTGCGATGGGTTTTGTTTTCTCAGTGTTGAGTGTAATCCTTACTGAAGGCTGCCGTCTAGAGTCTTGATGAGTGAGTGCTTAGAGCCTTCTTTACTTTCAGCACGCAAGGCTGTCTTCGCAGGTTATTAATGAGCCTTCCTCCAGTCCTGATGCCGCGTTCTTCCGATAGTCCGGTTTCACGGATTCGTTGCTCAGCACACAGATGGAATAGCTCTAGTGAGAGGATACAACCCTGGCACACACCTTTTCCTATTTTAAACCAGCCAGTGGTCTCCGGTTCAATTTGTGTACAGGTTCTGCAGGAGCACAATGAAGCGTTCTGGAATTCCTCCATTCTTGTTCTGACCCACACGGCCAAATGTCTTTGCATAGCCAATAAAACACGGGTAAACATCTTCCTGGTGTTCTCGACTTGGAGTTAAGATCTAGCAATGGAGTTAAGACTTCAGCAATGATACCCTTTGTTCCACGTCCTCTTCTGAACTGGACTTGAATTTCTGGCAGCTGCCTGCCCACGTACTGCTGCAAACCTGTTTTAATGATCTTCAGCAAAATTTTACATGAATGTGATACTAATGACGCTATTTGATAACTGCCACGTTCTGTTGGATCACCTTTCTTTGGAATGGGCACAACTGTGGATCTCTTCCAGCCGGCTAGCCAGGCAGCTGCCTTCCAAATGTCTTGGCACAGACAAGTGAGTGCCTCCAGCATGTATCTGTGGGGTAGGCGGCTTCATTTGGTACTCCAACACCTAAAATGTTTGCGTGTGGACCAATTCTGTTTGGTACAGGGACTCTGTATCCTTCCATCTTCTTGGGGTGCTTCCAGCATCCTTCAGGGTCTCGCCCATGTTGTTTTTGTCAGGGCCCTCCAATCAGTTTCCATTCGTAGCGACCCTCTGCCCAGCCCTGCACCATCCTCACAGTTGTTCCGAGAGCTGAGCCCATCCTTACAGCCACGGTGTCCATTCCTCTTGTTTGGGTCTGCCTCGTTTTCACTGCCCTGCTGCTTTACCAAGCAGGATGTCCTCCTCCAGGGACTGGCCTCTGCTGACAGACAACACGTCCCAAGTACGTGAGACCAAGACTCACTGCCCTCACTTCTGAGGAACATTCTGGCTGAACTTCTTGCGAGACAGATTTGCTTGTCCTTTTAGCAGCCCTCGGTACTTTCAGTACTCTTGACCAGCACCACCTTTCAAAGGCATCTCTTCTTCCTAAGTGTTCCTTATCCAGTGCCCAACTTTCACACATATACGGGGCGACTGAAAGTACCCTGTCTTGGGTCAGGCACACCTTGGTCCTCAAAGTAACACCTTTGCTTTTCAACACTTGAAAGGGGTCCTGGGCAACATATTTACTTCCCCAATGCAATGCATCATTTGATCTCTCGAATGCCGCTTCCTCGAACATTGATTGTGGATCCAAGTGCAAGACAAAATCCTTGACAACCTCAATCTTGTCTCCATGTATCGTGATGTTACCTATGGGTCCAATTGTGAGGATTTGGGTTTTCTTTGCATTGAGTTGGAAAGCCATACTGAAGACTACAATCCTTGATCTTCATCAGGAAGTGCCTCAAGTCCTCCGCACTTTCAGCAAGCATGGTGGTGCCATCTGCTTATCTCAGATTGTTAATAAGCCTTCCTCTGATCCTGATTCCGCATTCTTCGTAGAATGCCGCGCCTCTGATGATCTGCCCAGCACACAGATGGAATAGGTATGGTGAGAGGATGCAACCTCAGTGCACACCTTTCCCAACTTTGCCCATGCACCTTCAGTATTGCATCCTGCAGCTGGACTGTTGTTGTTGTTTATTCCTTCCATTCTTTCAGCTTGAGAAACGCCAAACGTATTCTTCTCCCTTGGTTGTCCACCTCCAGGTCTTTGTGCATTTCATTGTAACGCTTGATGCTATCATCTCTCTAGCTCCCAGTGATCTGTTCAGCTCTTTCAAATCACCGTGTCTTCCACTCGCTTCAGCGACACTCCATTCAGAGTCTCTTCTGATATCCGTCTCGGTATCTTCTCCTTTTCAGACTGCGATGGTTTTTTTTTTTTTTGTATGACAGTTTTATTGATCTAGAAATCACATGTCTTACAACTCCATGGTAGAATCGTATGCCACCTCTTGACATGGCTGGATGCTGACCGGTTATCTGTGGGAGAGTGGTGAGATCGAAGCGGATTGCGCAAGCATCAGGACAATCCGCTTGAGGACATTTCCTTCATTTTTACGTTATCATTAGCCCCCCCCACCCTGCCCCCACCCTCAAGCTCCCCTCCCATAACAGTGAGAAGCTACTCATCTAGTGACTGTCCCTACGGATTTGCTTCGTGTCTTCTTTCATGCCTCTCTTGTTAATGACCGCTGGCTCTCATCACGCCTGGTGTCCTCAATGTCACCTCACCCCAACATATCACTAAGCCCTGGAGAGCATTTCCCCAAAGAAGGGCCATTCAAGATGGGTTCTGATACATGGATAGGAGTTTGCCAGAGAGGAGGCTGCCTCCTCTGGTGCCCCTCAGCCTCTTGGCCTCCAAGCTGGCCTGCGCCCGCCCCCTGCTTCTCCCAGGCCAGCCCCTCCCACACCAACTAGGCCTTCCAAGCTCAAATGCCTCCCATCCTCCCACCATCCCCAGGTTCCGTGATACCTTTCCCATCCCCTCCAAGCTCCCTCCTCATAGCCCCTCCAGCCTTAGCTCAAATCCTGAAGCTCCTTCAGACCCGCTCACCGCCAGCTGAGAGCCAGTGAGTCGTCTGTTTATTCACATAACAAACACCGACAACGTGGGGTTCAGTGGTTGAGGACAGAGATGCCCACCTGGAGACCTAACCTACCAGGAGAGACAGACTGTGGTCAAGGAAACAGATGGGCAAATCCATGTGACCTGGGTGGGGGTGGAGTGCAGGGGGCAAGCCACCCAAGGAAAGTGCTGCAAGGATGTGATGAGAGTTGGGATGGGGGAGTCCAACCTGGCCTGAGATGCCAGGAAAAAAGCCACAGCCTGATGGATGAGAGGCACCCGCAGGCCAAGCCCAGAGGCAGAAGTCAAGAGGCCGGTGGCTAGAGCTTTCTGTGAAGCTGGCCGGCTCAGGCTCGGCTTTTATTCTAAGTGCACTGTGAATCCATCGACAGGTGGCAGGCGGCAGAAGATCCCAGTGGGTTTCTGTTTCTAAGAGCTCACTCCGGTGGCAGCAGGGTCAAGAACGGGTTGTAGGAGGAGCGAGAGGTGGGCTTCTGTGACTCTCCAGGCAGGAGGGGGCCGGACTGGGTGAGGTGTTGCCAGTGGAGATGGATCTGTTGGGGGTGGGGGCTGAGCTGATGGAGGGTGTGTTAGGCCTGATTAACTAGAGAGATAAATCCAAGAAAGAGATTTATTTCTATCAAGGAGCTTTCTATATCGGGAGAACATCCCAGCCCACCTCAACTCAAATCCATAAGTACGATACTAGTCCATAAGTCCCTCTTTAGACTCACGCAGCCACATGCAATGATGCCAAATGCAGGAGGATCACAGGCCGGTGGGTGCAAAGCCCTGTGGATCCAATGGCAGTGGACACCTCTACAGGACTCTGGCAGGTCTCAGAGTGGCTTGCCACAGGAAGGTGAAGATAGAGAAGAGGGAGGTTCCCAGGATCTTCCTTATGAGAAGGCCAAGCCAACAAGGAGGCACCATCTGGCTGTGACCTGATTGATAGGCTAAACTCCACCCCTACACTTCTACGTATCTCGTTGACATGAAACTAAGTAACTACCGCAGAGCTGGTGGATGAACAGGAAGGGTCACAGGACATAGGGTAGGTCTCTTTCCGTGCCTTTGCTGTTTCTCCCACTGTCCCAAGCCCTCCTGGCCATCCTGGGCAAAGCCACTTTTCAGACTAGCCTTGGGACAAGGGCAGCAGCCAGGCTGCCTAGACAGCAAGGGGCAGGCCCAGGGGATGGATGCATGATGCATGAATGAAAGTGACTGAGGCTGAGCCACTGTCAGGCTCTCTATAGGAGCCGTGGAACTTGGGGCAGATGGTCTAGACCACCTGAGCCTCAGTCTCCCCATAGGTCAAGCAGATGTGAGACCACCCACAGCGGGGAATTGCTGAGTTTGAAGGGCAGCCCAAGGACACCTCTGTGGCATTCCTTAGCCCCAGGTCTGAGTGCTGGCCATCTGAGTGCTGCGGTGGCATCTCGTCTCGGGCTGTCCAGCCCTGGGGGCTCTGCCCTTCCTGAGCCCCACCACCCTGTGCTTGTCTGTCCTCAGGTTTCCCCTATGAAAAGGTGGTGCAGAGGGTCCTCTACCTGCAGGTCCTGGACTACGACCGCTTCAGCCGCAATGACCCCATCGGGGAGGTGTCTATCCCCCTCAATAAGGTGGACCTGACCCAGATGCAGACCTTCTGGAAGGATCTGAAGCCATGCAGTGATGGGAGTGTAAGGCTCACCTGTGGAGCTCTGGCTGGAGTATGCGGGGTGGGGGTGGCGTTACCTGGGACCAGCAGGGCTGGGAACGGCCAGGAAGGGTGTAGGCAGAAGACCCCTGCTGGAGCAAGGATTCCGCCCCTCCCCTTCCGAGTCTGGGGAGCTACACCTGAACTGTGATGAACTCAGGGCTCGCTCTGTGGGGGGAAGACTCAGACCTGCCAGGTTCACAGGAGGCCACTGGGTAGGTGGTGGCCAGTGGAGGGGGGGACTGAGTTAGCCACTGGCCATCTGGTGCCCACCCCTTTTCATGGCCCAGCCTCACCCCACCCATTATCCCTCCAGGGGAGCCGAGGGGAGCTGCTTTTGTCTCTCTGCTACAACCCCTCTGCCAACTCCATCATTGTGAACATCATCAAAGCCCGGAACCTCAAAGCCATGGACATCGGGGGGACATCAGGTGCTGGGGCACCTCTTGGCAGAGGGTGGGTGGGGTGGGGAAGTTCTGGTGCCACGGGTGTCACTCTGCACGTGGGGAGTGGAGTCTTCCCCGTGGCTCTCACCCCAACGCGCAGTATCCTACCTCCAGGCCTAACTCCAGTACCTTTGAGGCCTGCATGGACACCCATAGGAGCACTCTGGGACTGTGCCCTTCTAAGAACCAGGAAGAAAGAGAGGGCTGTGGGAGGGAGATCCAGGTTCTAGTCTGGCTCTGGCGGGGGCTTGCATGTGACCCTGGACAAAGCCTTGGGGCTTGATGTCCTCATTGGCGGTCCCAGGGGGCACTGGATGAAGGCCAGGGTCCCTTCTCGCCCCACTGTCAGCTTCCTCTCACCCTTGCCTGGCTCATTCCTCAGCCCCTGCCCCAGCTCCCACCCCCGAGCACCTCTGACTCCTCCCCCACCCCCAGACCCGTACGTGAAGGTGTGGCTGATGTACAAAGACAAGCGTGTGGAGAAGAAGAAGACAGTAACGATGAAGAGGAACCTGAACCCCATCTTCAACGAGTCCTTCGCCTTTGATATCCCCACGGAGAAGTTGAGGGAGACCACCATCATCATCACCGTCATGGACAAGGACAAGCTCAGCCGCAATGATGTCATCGGCAAGGTAGGGAGGGGGCCGGTCAGGTGGAGTCCGCGCCCACCTGGCAGCCCAAGGGGACTTGCTCCAGCAAAGACACACTTCAGGCTGTGGGAAAGCCCAGGGCTGGGCACCAGGAGAGGTCGAGACAGCCTCTGCTTCTCCCCAGGGTCCGCTTCCTGATGGAAAAATGGGGGAGGTGGGTGAGATTCTCCCCAGGGTGTCAGTGCCCTCCTGGGGGTCAGTGAACTCAGAACAGGCCACTGGGAGGGCAGTGAGAAAGGTGTCCTAGACCTCAAAAAAGAACATTTTCTGGGCAGCATCCTCCAATAGGGCACACACTCCTGAGCCATGATGCCAGGGGTCTTGGTCTTTGGAGGGTGAGCTATGTGAGGCACCACCAAGAACTACAGTCCAACTTCTGAGACCGGGGTCAGTTTCCACCCCAGCCACTTCACCTCTAACGGGGTGTGTGACCTTGGGCAAGCCGGCTTGCTTCTCTGAGCCTCCGCTTTCTCATCTACAAGATGGAGCTACTAGTACCAACCCTACAGTGTGGTTGGTGTATGGATCGCCAGAGATACTGTGACTTTTTCTTTATGGAAACGACCTCTCCTTGTCACACACTGACCCAAAAAATCCACTCCTGGTCATGTGCCATTCCAGGATGAAGCTCTCCCTATGGCCTAAGTCTGTTTTCCTACTTGGAAATGCCGTGTTTGTTCATGGCTTAGTGTTAAGAGTGTCAGCTTGGGATCTGCCCGGGGCCAGATCCAAACCCCATCTCTGAACAGCTGTCAGCTTTCCAACGCTCCTTTTCTCCTTTCCAAGTGAGAGTAAGGCAGTTCTGACCGAAAGCTCGTGCTGAGAGGGCTCGGATGGCACAGGTGCGGGGCTTAGCGTGGTGTGGAACCTATTAATGTCAGCTACCCTCCTAATAAAAGTTTGTTCCTACTAGCTTAGCCAAGCATGCTCATTCTGGGCATGCATTTTGTCCAGAAGTGGGGCAGGGAGCCCAAACACCAGGCCGGGAGGTAGGTGGGAGCCCAGTGGTCAGGAGAGATGAACTCAGACCCCTTAGAGCAGTGATTCTCAACCTTCCTGCTGCCATGACCCTTTAATACAGTTCCTCATGTGGTGGTGACCCCCAACCATAACATTCTTTTCTTTTTTTTTTAACATTTTATTAGGGGCTCATACAACTGTTATCCCAATCCATACACACATCAATTGTGTGAAGCGCATTTGTACATCGTTTCTCAAAACATTTTCTCTCCACTTAAACCCCCGACATTAGGTCCTCATTTTTCCCCTCCCTCCCCGCTCCCCTTCCCTAATGAGCCCTTGATAGTTTATAAATGGGTATTTTGTCATATCTTGCCCTGTCCGACGTCTCCCTTCACCCACTTTTCGGTTGTCTGTCCCCCAGGGAGGAGGTCACACACAGTTCCATGTAATCGGTTCCCTCTTTCCTACCCATTCTCCCTTTACCCTCCCTGTTTTGCCACTCACACCACTGGTCCTATAGGGCTCATCCGTCCTGGATTCCCTGTATTTTCAGTTCCTATCTGTACCAGTGTACCTCCTCTGGTCTAGCCAGACTTGCAAGATCGAATTCGAGTCATGGTAGTGGGAGTGGGGAGGAAACATTTAGGAACTAGAGGAAAGTTGTATCTCTCATCATTGTTACATCACACCCTGACTGGCTCATCTCCTCCCCGAGACCCCTCTGCAAGGGGATCTCCAGCGGCCTACTAATGGGCTTTGGATCTCCACTCTGCACTCCCCACATCATTCACTATTGTAAGATTTTTTGTTCTGATGATGCCTTACACCTGATCCCTTCGACACCTCGTGGTTGCATAGGCTGGTGTGCTTTTTCCATGTGGGCATTGTTGCTTCTGAGCTTGATGGCCGCTTGATTACCTTCAAGCCCATTGCTACTTCATAACTGTCATTTTGCTACTGTTATGAATCGGGCAAACCCTATGGAGGGTCGTTCGACCCCCAAAAAGGTCTCAACCCACAGGTTGAGAACTGCTGACTGAGGGCATTTCCTAGTACGAAGCGATGATCAGGTGACCGTGGGTACCCAGGGGTGGGGGTGGAGGTGGAGGCATCCCTGGAACAAAGGAGCAAGGGGAATTCAGCTGTGGGGCATGGGGGAGGCCAGGTGATCTCTAAGCAGACAGCTGTCCTTGCCTGCCATGGCACATGGCTCAGAGAGCCGGGCTGGCCAACATGCATCACAGGTAGGACAGTCCCCAAGGACAGCAGCTCACAGCTGCTGACCCCCTTCACCACGCAGGGCCAAGGGTCACTAACTGAAACCAGGCCTTGGCTTTGAGAGCTTGGCTTCCTGGAGTTGGGCCTCCCTTAGATATTAGTGGTAGTGCCTCTTGGTCCACAGCCCTGTCTTCTGTGGCGGAGCCCAGGCGAAGGTGGGTTTGTTCTGCGGAGCCTGGGCATCTCCACACCCATCCAGCCCCCCAGCTCAGTCCCAGAAGCCTGGCATCACTCACGGCTATGGGCATTGTGTTAGGGCCCAGACTACTAATGTAGGTGCACACATAATGAGGACAACACAGCAGCCAATTCCAGAGGGAGAAACCCCCTTGCTGAGAGAGCTCACATGTATCAACAACACCCTCCTGGCATGCCAGGAAGCAGGCTGGGCCATTCACCACTGGGCAGAGCGGGCCCTGAGGCCCAGGGAGGACTTCTGAATCATGCCACCTTTCTCAACCTCCTTTTCTGAATCGTGCCTCCCTTGCCCCCTCCCCACCAGAATAACACCCCTGTCCCCTACATTCCCATGTAAGCCAACTGCCATCAAATCCATTCCAACTTATAGTGACCCGTAGGTCAGTCTAGTGAGGTTGTGAATCTGGACAAGAGCAGCAGGTGGGTTCAAACCACTGGCCTCAGTGAGCACCCTGGCGCTTAGCCCTCAGTGCCACCAGGGCTCATCTTGATCCCACATACCAAATTCCATATTCCCTGCAATGGACCAGTCAATTCTTACTCTTAGGACAGGGTAGAACCGCTTCTGTGGGTTTCTGAGACTGTAACTCTTTACGGAAGTAGAAAGCCTCATTTTTCTCCTGAGGAGCAGCTGGTAGTTTCAAACTGCTGACCTTGTAGTTAGCAGCCCAACGTGTAAGCACTCCGCCACCAGGGCTCCTCTGATCCTGGGTAGCCAGTTCTTAAAAAAAGCACAGCTCTCCTCAGAGCTGCCGGGCTTTTACTAGGTAAGCAATGGTGCTGTTGGGTTTAAGGAAGACTTGGGTGGGGAGAGGGGTGTAGGGGTGTTTGGTTGAAGGTTTAAAGATGGTCTCAGGGCAGTAGGTCCGGGGTTCATTCAGTCCCCAGTGGCTCCAGAAAGACTGCATCCCAGAAGGTTTTGTTGTTCTTTTCGCCCTGCCATCCGCTTAATGCCGACTCACAGCAACCTCACAGGACAAGGTTGAACTATCCCGGTGGGTTTCTGAGACTGTACATCTTTGCAGGCGGAGATAGCCCTGGTAGTATAGTGGGTTACTTGTGCTGACTACAAAGTCAGCAGTTTGAAACCACCAGCTGCCCCTCAGGAGAAACACAGGGCTTTCTCCTCCTGTAAAGAGATGCGGTCTCGGAACCCCCCCAGAGGCAGCTCGACCCTGTCCAACAGCGTCACTCTGAGTCGGAATAGACTCGACCCCGCTGAGTTCCCAGTTTGGGTTTTCTCCCTATGTTTTCCAACGAAGGTGGAATTCACAGAACATGCCATTAAGCGCCCACATGTTCCCTGTCCCCGCTGTGGCCCTGTCCCCGCTGTGGCGTTTCCTGTTGTTCCCAAAGTTGTCCAACCACCACCTCTCTCCAGGAAAGCGCTCTGGGACCCCACCCACCCACCCACCCACCTCCAACCCCCTAGGGACCACAAATCGGCTGGCAGCCCTTAATGCAGGTTTTATTTGGGGCTACGTGCTGATCGGCAGAGGTCATCGAGAGCATTCTCATATGCCCCTCACCCTGGCTTGGCCGCCAACCACCACCCACCCCCGCATTGTTAGCCTCTTACATCACCAGATGCTTCTGCCACCACTAAGAAACAGGCAGCGGCACCTGACTGTGAACCCAATACCATGTTGTTTTCTATGAATGCCCTTTCCCTGTCCCAGGGTCCTGTCCAGGGTGTCACATTGCACGTGGTTGCCTCTCTCCGGTCTCCTCTGGTCTGTGAGCATGTCTCCACTGTTCCCTGTTTCTCCTGACCTTGCGTCCTGAGCAGCACTGGCCGGCCAGCCTGTGGAATGTCCGCCAGTCTGCGCCCAGCACCTGGGCCCGGAACCACTCGCCAGCCATGGGGCTGGGAGGCCGGGGGTGCACCCATTGGCTCCTACCCAGTGGAAAAAAGAACCTGACCATCTGTTCCTGTAAGGATGACACCTAGGAAGTGCTTTAGGACTTCTCTCTCTACTCCGTCCCCTGGGTTCCACATTGAAACATTGTCACCTAACATGAAGTCCGGAGGCTGGGGCCAGTTGGGCCCACCCTGGAGACGCTGGGACAGCCCTGAGAAACAGCACTGAAGCCCCTAGGCTGGGGCCCAAGAGGCCTGGGGTTCAAACTTCAGCTCCACTTTAGATGTAAGCGAGGCTGTCTGTGCCTCCGTGTTGCCTTCTGTAGAATAGGGGCAAGAGCTTAATCCAATCTCACTGGGGGCCTCGTAGGTAGCAATGTGCAGCAGAGGTGAGGGGATGGTGCTTGGCATGGAGGGACGTGGGAGCTGACTGCCCCTACGCCAAGTAGACCCGGAGGATGCTTCCAACGGAGCAGCGAGTCCAGGCACAGCCAGGAAAGCATCCAGGGTGAGACGGTGCTGGATTGAGGTGGGTGTGAGCACCGGGTTACTGACTGCAGGCCAGCCCCAGTGACGCAGCGGCTGAGCGCTCAGCCTCCAACCTACAAGTCGGCAGTTCAAACCCACCAGCCACTCTGCGAGGGAAGCATGTGGCGATCAGCTTGTCCAGAAGCACAGCCTTGAAAAACCACGGGGCAGTTCATTCCACACATCCTATTGGGTCACTGTGATGGCCTAAAAACAGGTTTAGGTGCTCATGGAGGTAGAGTGCTGCCCCCCGGTGGTGAGCATAGGGCACTGCCCCAGAGCCCCATCTAACACCGCCCCGCCACCCGCCTCTCTCCCCAGATCTACCTGTCCTGGAAGAGCGGGCCCGGGGAGGTGAAGCACTGGAAGGACATGATCGCGCGCCCTCGGCAGCCCGTGGCCCAGTGGCACCAGCTGAAGGCCTGAGCGGGGCCAGGAGAGGCCTGGGGGGCCGAGGGCCCGGGTCTCCACCATGCTCTCACCACTTTATGCACTACGCCCGGCCCGGCCCCCCTGCCCTGGGTGAGGGGAGGACCCTGCCGCCCGGCAAGGGCCAGGGAGGGGTCCCAGGACTCGGCCCCATTTCCAGGAAGTACCAGCCCCACCCCCAGCGGTCCAGCTCGCGGGGAGAGACTCCGAGAGCCATTTTCCTGCTTTGCCCCTTTCCTTCCCCACTCGTGGAGAAAGGTGGGGGGAGCCTGAGAGACTGGCACGTACCTCCAGAGGCCCGCCAGGTGGGCATGGCCCGCCGTTTTCTTTGAGGCGGTGCCTGGAGTGGAGAAAGCCCCCCACCTGCGCGCCTGCCCCCTCGAGGGCCCAGGACAGGGGCGGCCGGGGCGTTTGGCCTTGGCCTAGAGAGGTCGGTCCCCAGGACAGCTTCAGGCGCCGGCTGGGCCCTGAACGCCTAGGAGAGTATAAATAGCCCGTTCCGGGGCCCGTGTACTTGTGATGTGTGTCCCCCTGTGTGTGCGTGTGCGTGTGGCGGCTGCTTGTTCCCTGCCCCTCTTCATCCCACCGGCAGTGCTTGAAGACTGACGCGGGGACCCCATTCGTGCAAGGCCTGGCGGGGCTGGAGCTGTAGGGGGGTAGGGGGTAGGGGAGAGCAGAGCCTGGGCCCAGAACTGACTGCCTCCCGCCCACGCGTCCCAGTCCCTCTGCCCTCCGGACTGTAGCACTGCGCCAGCGCCATCCCCTGAACGTCTGCTCTCACCGTTTAGGCACCTACTGTGTGCATAGCATTTCACAAGACTCTTGCTCTTTTCCTTCTCAGGGGACCCCCTGCCAGCTCGCTTCCCTAACATCCCCCCCAACCGGGAGCCCCACCCCCACCCCTAGCGCCTTCCCAGACGTCACATCCAGCCAAGTTGGTGAGCCTCACCATGCTTGCCCTGGGTTCCTTGTCTGTGCAGACCCCGCTCCGTGGTCTCCCGGTTTCCCCACACAGACCTCCTCGCGCAGACTCCCCGCCCCACCCCCTCCCGGTCCTCCCACTCCCGGCGCCAGGACACAGAAGCTATGACTTCTCCTTGGACCCTGCAGATTTCAGGATGATGCTCCGCTTAAGTCTCGCTGATCCTCACACTGGCCCTGTATTGATACAAGACCTAGCTGGCGACCAAACCTCAAACCCTGCAGGGGAGGGGCAAGGACGGGGGTCCGAGAGTCTGGGCTGCCGTTCTGAGCACACACCACCAGGTGGCACGCGGACACCACAGTCTGCCACCGCTGTCCCTGGACCTGACGGCCGCCCCCACATCCGCAGTCCGCCAGGCACATAAGCAATTAGGGACCGTTTTCCTCCCGTCGGCTGCCCCTTGAGCTGACCATTTCTGCTCTGTGCAGTAGCCAAGACCCCTGTCGCCCCCATCAAAATGTTCTCAACTTGGACCTCACCTCCCCCGACCTTCCCGCCCTGGCCCTGAGCCCCCTGGGATCTGGAGGAATACCATACATTGTAGGTGAACCGTTTCGTAGAGTGAAGAACCGCTGATGTGAAGCCAACATCCCTGGTAAATCCCGACTTGTATATTATCGCTTTGCTTAAAAGGGGGTCCGCCCTAAACGCGCCCTCCCCAGTGGGAGGGCTGGGGACCAGCTGTCAGTAGGGATGGAAGGGCAGGGACCCAGGAGACTTTGTGTGAAGAGGGTGCTGGCATTCTTACCCCCGCCCCCTTTGAGTACTAAGCTGAGCTACCTGGTCCCCTGGGGGCCGAATGTAACCCAATTGAGTGGTCTCCGGAGCTCCGCCCCGAGTGCTTTGCCAATCAAGTGCATCGAACTTCTCCGGACGGAGTCTCCTCCCACCGTGTGGCGGCACATTCCCCGGGTTCCATCTTGGAGTTCCCGGGGTCCCAAGCACTGCTTGGAGCCTCGGACTTGGGGGAGATAGGCAAGGAGTGTGGACCCAGAGCCAGGCAAGCTGGCACTGGAAGAGGTGGGTGGGGGACGAGGTCAAGGCCCACAGGAGAAGAGAGAATGGGGGCACTTGAGGAAGGGGGGCCCTGGAGCCTTGCCGTCATCCCAAAACCTTGGGCAAGACACCCACACACACCCCCGGGCCTCAGTTTCCCTAGCTGTAACATGATGGTAATAAAACTTCACCTACCTCATAGGGGAGGTTGTAAGGCCACTGTCGCCTGACCTGGGGAGTCAAGGCCGGAGGGCTCTGAAGGTGCTACCTGCGAGCCAAGTATTACTACCGACCGATCGATAGCACAGCCGCCCGCCGCCCCTCTCCCAAGAGCCTCCTGGAAAAGCCAGGCCTGCGGGGCCCTTCCCGTCTCTCCCCGTCCTCCGTGTCCCAGGACCCTTCATCTGTCGTCTGTGCTGCCCTAGATGTAGTCGTTTTCTTGTTCAAGTATCTTGTTGTGACCATCGCCCCCTCAAAGCCGCTGTGCAAATCCCACCTGCCCCAGGACCCCGCACCTGCGCCACCCTACTGGCACCAGATGCCGGGGAGGGGACAGGCGAACAGCCCCCTCCCCCAACACGCACACACCATTGAAACAAAAAGCCAACGGGGCCTCAAGGCTGGGGGTTGGTGGCTGCTGTTTGTATTGTATTTGAGTCCTTGAGTGCAAGTGTTTTATATTAAAAAGCAAAAATCAACAAAAACCCACTGTCACACACACAAGATAAGGAAGAGAAATGAAGAAAACGGAAGAGGAATAAAACATACGAACTTCACTACACGCACCCTCTAAGCCAGCAAGATCTCCTCTTTGCAAAATCATATTTTTGTGGGAATGGGCCTGCTTTTTGTGGCAAGGCGCATTCTGATTAATAAAGGATCGTGAAAAAGTAGGGCCTTGGCTGTTTCCTCGGGGGGTCCCAGTGGGTCCCAGAACTCCCTCCCCACACCAAGGGAAGAGACAGTGGGGGTGGGGAGGGCCACCCTAGCCTGAGTCTCCCCTCCACTTGTCCCCTTTAGGAAGTGATTAACTGCTGAGCTTCGAGCCCACCCTCCAGTCTCTAGTAAGAGCCTACCCAGTTACCCTGGAATGAGCCCTGGTAGCACTGAACTGCTAACCACCAGGTTAGCGGTCCAAACCCACTGCCGCTCCTCAGGAGAAAGATGAGGCTGTCTGCTCTCCCAAAGAGTGACAGTCTCAGAAACTATATAGGATCTCTGTGAGTCGTAGTCAACTCAAAGGCGGTAGGTTTTTCGAGCAGCTACACCTCAGACCCAAAGCAAGGCCCAAGGGGTCCCCCCAGCTCAGAACCCTGCATCCTACAGTCCCCAGGGGACTCTCACCACCCCCCAAAGCAGATCAGATAAACCCCACCCACCCCAAGCTCTGGAAGGCTCATGAAGAGAGCTACTGGGTCCCAGCACTGGAAGAGGTGGGTGGTGGAGGGTGTTCAATCTGTTGTTGGCAGGTGTGCCTCAGCTTTTGGACTCATCACGCACACACCCCACTGATCTGCCTCATAGAGCTTTCTGGAAGGTGAACTGCGTGGAAGCAGACAGCCAGGACTTCTCCCTGGGAGCAGGCAGGTGTGTGTCTGAAGGGCCCATCTTTACTGCTAGCTGACAAGCGTTTAGCTGCTGCATCACCACGAGGCACCTCATTTCAATCCTTAGGGTTGGAAAAATCTCTCCCATTCAAGTGAGCCTCTGTCCACCTCTAGCCTGAAGGCTGGGCCCCTGGGCCCATCGTCCCTTCCTTCCCTGAGACTGTGGCCCTGAAGGAGTTTCATTCCTCTAGGTCTCAGCCCCAGGAGCCCTGATGTTGTGTCGGGCTGCCAACCCCAAAGTTGGCAGTTCAAAACCACCAGCTGCTCCTCAGGAGACGGATGAGACTGCCGACTTCTGTAACGAGTTACAGTCTCAGAAACCCATGGAGCTGTTCTATCCTGTCCTGTAGACTCACTGTGAGCCACAATAGACTCGATGGCAGTGAACTTGGTTTTTTCAGAGGAGGAGGGTGTCTCAGCCCATGAAGAGCCATAAGGAACCTGATCTCCCCTCCCCAGCCAGGCCTGGAAGTTCTTGGGTGCTTCCCCAGGCAGATGCTGCATCTGTTCCTGATCCGGGCACCAAAGGAATAAATCACATATCCCAGTCATGTGCCTACCCCTTGACCCCTCCCCAGCTGGAGCTAAGACAGCCAGCATGCCTGCTGCCCTCCCCACACCCACTTGAAGTCAACTGCCTTCCCTTTTCACCCAACAATTTCTTAACCACTTGGTTTCAACAGCCCACCAAACCAGTGGTTGCTTCTTCCTGCAGCAGGGAGCCCCAGGACAGGTAAGTAGCCTCAGGACTGATTCTTGTCCCATTTCCTTCATTGAAACTGCCTCTGAGACACAGCGTGGGAAGGCAGGACCACCTCCAGACATTTCTGTGTCCCGGCCTTCACTTCTGGTCTTCCCTCCGTCCACTCCTCTAAGCGTTCCTCCCCTCCTTTGGGCCCTCTACTGTTTCCTTCCCCTTTGGCTCCCTCCCAGGTACCACTGCATTCTGGGAGCTGCTTGGGGCCATGTCCTGCCCTCCTTACCCTTCCCCACCAACCGAACCAAGACAATGCTTGGACACACAGTCCACCCCAACCCCGGCTCCCGTGACCATCTGTCTCTGTGTCTGTGTCCTGTGCGTCTGTGCTGTGTCTCATTTAGATTGTGAGCCCCCTTTGGGCAGGGACCCCTGTCTGGATATATATTCTGTGTAGCACACCCTCATGTGCAATAAATGTCCATCCTTAGAACGAGAGTGCCTGGCGTCTGGGGGTGCTCAGGCAAATGGCTGGGATCAGAGGCAGAGAGGTACTTCAGGGCAGGGGTCCCAGTTCCTTATTCTGATTTCCCAGGCCTCTGCAGGTGGGTGAACCTGTGGGGGTAGGGTGGAAATAGTAACAAAACTGGGAGAGGACCCACACTCTAGAATGTCTCCAATGCTGCTGGCCAAGAGGCCTGTGGGGGGGGGGGGGGGCCTCCAGGAGGGGAGAGGAGGAGACACTGCCCGCTCCAAAAGACATTAATGGCCAGACCGGAACAGTAGCAGCTTATGAAATAGGAGGAGCCCTGGGGTTGTGATCAAATAATTCAGGTACATGGACAAGTCGTCTCCCCTCCTAGATCTGTTCCTGGCCCTGCAGCCTCCTGGACTCTCTCATTTGTTCCCCAAACTTTCATTCTTATTCTGACCCACCAGCTTCTCAGCCTCTGCTCCTGCCCCTCTGTCCTCCTGGCACAAACACTGTTCCTTCAGGGTACCCCTGCCCTAAGGTGGGCACTTCTGACTGCCTCCAGGACAACATGGGGCCCCCATTGTTCCAAGTCACTCAGCCACTGAGGCAATACCAACTACTAATTGGCCCTATAGGACATGGTAGAACTGTCCCCATGGTCTTCCAAGACTGCAGCTTTTTAAGGGAGTAGAAAGCCTCAACTTTTTCCCAAGGAGTGGCTCGTGGTTTCGAGCTGCTGACCTTGAGGTTCACAGCCCAACTTGTAATCACTATGCCACCAGGGCTCCGTTGTTCCAAGTAGCCCTTCCAAGTGTGGCCTCCCTTCTTGGACAGAGATCAAGTGAGAAGGCACCGGAAGTTAGACAGCGTGGGACTAAGTGCTTCATCACTGCAGGAATCCATGATGCCAGCTGTCTCCCTCGTGGGAGATGAGACCCTCAACTCTAAAGGCACTCACTTTACCCAACCCCCCCAAAGTCCAGGAGGATTGAGTGAGCTCAAAGCCAGTCTCTGCCAGCCTTCTCCCCTTTTTCTCTGGAGAGAAGCCGAGCCACAGGCAACCCTGCTGGGCTGACAGTCAGCTGTGGATAAAGGCGCGATCTTTGACAGAGGACACAGGGCCCTGTGTGTCTCCGGGTGGTTCAGTGGGGTCCATCACTCCAAGCTTGAGGGCCCAGTGACCATGACAGGTAACATGACAGACCAGAGAAGAAAAGAAAATATGGGTTCTGGAACACCAGCAAGTACTCCCAAGTGACAGTGCCCCCCACCCTCCTGGCCCTGCTCCAGCATTAGCAGCAATCATACACACACACACACACATACACACACACAGCAGGGAGCTGCAGTGTCAGAACTCAAATTCAGCTCCTTAGACTGCAGATGGGGAAACTGAGGCCTGGGAGACTGGGACTGTTCAAGGTCACTTGGTCACTAGCGGAAGGACTGGACGTTACATCTTTTGATTCTAGGTCCTAGAGTAGTCCCTCTATGCTTTGGTCCACAAGAGGCTGGTCCTGAATGGGCTGCAGTTCCCCTGCTGTTGGTTTGAGTCCTCCTCCCTGTCTCCATGTCCAGAAAGACCACTGAGAGAGCAAGCACCAGACCCCTCTCCCTGAGAAGGGAGCAGCCCCCCGGCCTCCACCCCACCACCGCCTCCCACCCACCCGCTCTCCACTCTCATGGGCTAATGGACTGCTACAGCGCCAGGCCCAACCCCAGTGCAGTGGCTGGGCAGGGCCTGACCTCTTGGCCTCCTGTGACATCAGCCCGGCCGTTGCCATGGTGACAGCTGTCTGGCAGCAGCTCCTCTGGTCTCTAGGCTCAAGGTTTTACCATTTTCTTTCTTTCATTCCCTCCCTCCCCCCTTGCTTAGCAAGTTCTGCCAAGATGGAGCAAAAAGAAACTAAGAGGTGGTGAGCGAGAGAGAAAATGGATTGAGAGAGGGAGAGAGGAAGGGGAGAGGGCAGGAGGGGGCAGAGCCTGTGAAAGGACATGGAAAGGTCAGCCCAGCTTGAGGGAGACTCAGAAGCACCAGGGAGCCCCGAGAACAAAGCTGGAGAAGCTGTGTGGCCAGAGCTAGGGAGCAGGAGAACAGGGAGGCTCCGGAGCCAGGGAGACAGCGCGACAGAAGAACAGCTTGGAACAGCCAAAGCCTTTCTGATGATGAACACTCACCCCCCAGACAGACAGGACTCAACAGTTGGCTAG